CTCGTTCGGTGTATATTCAGTTACAGCTAGAACCCATAACTGTTTATCAAGGATCTCATCGTTACATCTAGCCTGACAATCTGCTACCTCCATCTGTGGGTCTGCCATTCAGTCTCAGCCAACTTGAGATCACAGTTCTTCAGCTCTGTCTAGCGTGCTTATCTCCATCAATCTATTTCTGTTTAGCTTGCTATCTGTGTCGAACTATGTTCTATATTTAGTTGTCTTAATGCTTTCAATTCACATTCTCGAGCCTGTCGCTTCTGAAGGTCGCAAACCTGATTCACGGTTTGTTTATGTTCGTCGTTCTGCCGCTGATGTGTGGGATACCGGATCTTAGGGATCGAGTTGGGAAAACGTTCCAGTGACAGGTTTTTTTTTTTTGTTGTTGTTGCCCTGACGGCTTTACCGCATTTTCATCATGGCTTTTTGTTTTCTATCTCTGTCTTCTTAGTCTTTATCTTCCATATATTTGTTTTATACTTCATTTTTTTTCTCAGTATTAAATAAGAAAATTAATAATAAACGATTGTTGTGACTTCCGATTCAAGTTTCGATTATAGTCAACTGCAGGTATTTGCTGAGGTCTTCTTTGCCGTTGTATTCTTATTCTTTCCCTTTAATGCATTTAATGGTTTTTCTCTCTGCTTTTGTTCCGATGTTTGAAAAGTAGTTAATACAAAGTCTCGGCTATCATTAGGTCACCTACAGGAATTTATTTCTCACTTCAGGGAAAACTAGGTTCTTGAATTCAGTTGATTAACATGAATTCCCACCCTTTGAGAAATAGGTAATTATTCCTAGAAACATCATCGCGGCTTACTGTGTGTTTGTTAAATTACTCTACATTTATTTAATAGGTCCTGCATTGACTATTGAAATTACGAATGTCTACAACCCGTCCCGTTTTCATGTTGTATAGAGGCTGTACGGAATTATGTTAGATTCTCCTGTTGTCAGTGGTCATGCTGACCATGTGGTCAGTGAAATCCAGTTTGTAGAGCTGCTCTGTCAGTATTCGTCGTGCTAATCTGTCAGTATTCGTTCAGCTGCTCTGTCAGTGTCCGTTCAGCTCCCCTGTCAGTGTTCGTTCAGCTGCTCTGTCAGTGTTCGTTCAACTATTATGTCAGTATTCGTTCAACTATTCTGTCAGTATTCGTTAATCTGCTCTGTCAGTGTTTGTTCAGCTGCTCTGTCAGTATTCGTTCAGCTGCTCTGTCAGTATTCGTTCAGCCGCTCTGTCAGTGTTCGTTCATCTGTTCTGTCAGTATTCGTTAATCTGCTCTGTCAGTGTTTGTTCAGCTGCTCTGTCAATGTTCGTTCAGCCGCTCTGTCAGTGTTCGTTCATCTTTTCTGTCAGTATTCGTTAATCTGCTCTGTCAGTATTTGTTCAGCTGCTCTGTCAGTGTTCGTTCAGCTGCTCTGTCAGTGTTCGTTCATCTTTTCTGTCAGTATTCGTTAATCTCCTCTGTCAGTGTTTGTTCAGCTGCTCTGTCAGTCTTTGTTCGGCTGCTCTGTCAGTTTTCGTTCATCTGCTCTGTCAGTGTTCGTTCATCTTTTCTGTCAGTATTCGTTAATCTGCTCTGTCAGTGTTTGTTCAGCTGCTCTGTCAGTATTCGTTAATCTGCCCTGTCAGTGTTTGTTCAGCTGCTCTGTCAGTATTCGTTAATCTGCCCCTACAGTGTTTGTTCAGCTGGCCTGTCAATGTTCGTTCAGCTAATCTGTCAGTGTTCGTACAGCTAATCTGTCAGTTTTCGTTCAGCTGCTCTGTCAGTGTTCGTTCACCCGCCCTGTCAGTGTTCGTTCACCTGCCCTGTCAGTGTTCGTTAACCTGCCCTGTCAGTGTTCGTTCACCTGCCCTGTCAGTGTTCGTTCACCTGCCCTGTCACTGTTCGTTCAGCTGCTCTGTCAGTGTTCGTTTACCTGCCCTGTCAGTGTTCGTTCAGCTGCTCTGTCAGTTTTCGTTCATCATGTTTCTGAAAGTACTCGCTGTTATCTTTTGAATGAAATAAAAGGTGTTTAACTTGAGGTTACACCATATACTATTCCATAAAAGTACTTTAAATACTAAGGGCTACAGATGTTCCACAGCATTTAAACGGTTTGACTGAACGCTAAAGGTTAAACGTGTAACACGTGTTATAAGTGGTTTAACAGAAAATCCAGGGGTACATCATGTACCACCAGTGGTTTGACTGACGGTACTACCAAATGTAAGTGACTTAACTGAAGAGATCACAAAATGTAAGTGGTTTGACTGATGGTGCCACAATATATAAGTGGTTTGACTGGCGATATTACAAAATGAAAGTGGTTTGACTGACGGTATTACAAAATATAAGTGGTATGGCTGACGGTACCACAATATATAAGTGGTTTGACTGACGGTATTACAAAATATAAGTGGTCTGACTAGCGGTATCACAAAATATAAGTGGTCTGACTGACGGTATCACAATATATAAGTGGTTTGACTGTCGGTATTACAAAATATAAGTGG